TTTGATCAGTGATAATGTAAACTTGTCTTCGAAAAGACAAAATGTGACAAAGTTCTGGTTTCTTCAAACCCAATCAATGGTATCAATCGTATAGAGCTTACAATTTTACCATATTTTTTCAACTGCTCTTCAAGTAAAGTATTAGAATAAATGACGGTACTCCAGAAAGCACAACCTTAGTCGCTGGTTTCATCAGTGGCTCTACATAAACAAAAGTGTCACCAATGTCTGTAATCCCAGATGCACACACCTGTTTCACTGTTTGAACAGAATCCAAAAAAAAACAATAACATTACCATTAGCTCTTGAGGCAGCAAGAATTTTTTCTGCCCCTACTATTTTGGAAATGGAATCAACGTAGGTTTCAATTGGAACCCCGCTCACTGACTTGCATTTGACACCATGATTTCGAGTCAAACTTAAAAGTGGTTTTACCCTGTGGGCAGCCATCTTGCTTGTTGACGTGGCAGACCACAACACCAGCAAAGTAAGAGGCAGATTTATGCCTAAAACTCCAAAAACAAAACAACCAAGCTAACCACAAGAATAGCTATTTACAAAAATAAAGACTCACTGACTTTGTAAAAACTGTGTTTTTCAGCGGTTTTCCGTGGGCTCGATGTACGTACGCTTTTTTGGTGACTGGCGCAATATAGCAGTCACGAAAGTTTGGCTCAATATCAGCAGGCAAGGATAAAATATCTGTCCAAACTGCTTCGTAAAGAACATTATCTTTAGAGAGTTTATTGATTAGTACAAGAAACTTATACAGCTCTCCTACCTTATCGATCTTATAGAGAGAATAGTTCAGCAGGATATCATTCCCGTCATCCCGGTACACTAATTCTAAAGAGTAATTAGTGTCAGGTGACTCAGTTTTATTTATATGACTGGACTTATTTATTATACCATGCCACTCTAGTGGTATCGCACGTTTTATTACATCTAGTGCCATAGTAAGGAGACGTTTGGAATATATGGGCACTAATCTATATAACGTGTCAACATGAAGCCAATTGTGGAGCAGATTCCCAATGTTAGTAAGCCCAGCTTGATGGAAATGCAACATGTTTAGTGGAATATTCCGAACATGGTGTATTATAAGTGGGTTAAAAAACAAAGGTTCATTACACACGTCATCAATCTGTGATGGCCTACTTTTCCTCACTGTCGTAAGTGTGGACCACATTTTCAGAAGCTCCTGATAAAATGCAGGGATATCAGTTAAAGGTATGGAAGTGTGAATAACAAATAGTTGCTTGTCACAGTTAAGGTTATGAAGTTGTTGTAGAAAATAATCAGTAAAAGCATAACACGGATGTTTTGAGTTGCTGTATAAATAATGTTGTAAATATTGTAAGCGAAAAGACGCAATACATGTATGTAAATGAATCAGTCCTTGCCCGCCCTCACATGGCGGTAGATAGACAGTATTCGCAGGAACCCAATGACGGCCCTGCCAAAGAAAGTTTAAAAATAGCTTTTGTAACAAATCAGTTTGCTCTCTAGACGGACTCAAACACACAAGTCTATGAAGAAACTTCGACGCAACAAGTTGATTGACAACCAAAGTGCGCCCTCTGTATGACATAGCTGGTGCATACTTATTCCACCATTCAAGTTTGGCTTCAACTTTTTCAGTGATGTCTGCCCAGTTTTATCCAAGAACGACGCATTATTACCAAGATATGTGCCTAGGACTTTAAGTCCCTTATTGTTCCACTGTATATTTAATGGGTTGTCAATTCGGGTTTTCCAGCTGCCCGCCCATAATCCCTTAGATTTAGCATAGTTTATGCGCGAGTTGCTTGCACCCTCGTAAATATCTAGCCATTCCTGTATTTTGAGAAATGACCATTTTGAGTAAGGAAAAAGCTTACATCGTCAGCGTAGACAGTGAGACTAACATTTTTACCCGAATCATGTATATTTAACACCTTGAAGTTGACTTTTAGTTCCTATCTTATGAAGAAGTGGCTCGATGGCTATTGAATATAACTGCCCAGAAAGGGAACAGCCTTGGCGTATACCCTGTGAAAAATTAACTGGACTTGTTAAACTGTTGTTGACCCGCACAAGGCTTTGTGTACCTGTGTAGATTAGCGCAATGTATTTAACAAATTGGTCGCCAAAACCAAAGGCTTTAAGTGAAGATATCCATGGTGTACCCTAGCTATCAAATGCTTTTTCCTGGTCGAGAGAAACAATACCAAGCGGTATATTATTAGTATTTGAATATGTTATGAAGTCACGAACTAGGTGAATATTGTCAAAAATACGTCTACCAGGGATAGAATAGTGTAATGTTTTTTGAATTTCTTTATTGGTGCTTTCTGTTTCTTGTTTTCCCCGACTTTTACATGCCTCGATATAATGTTTGTTAAGCTTTGATGGAATTCATTGAATTCGTAATTTATTCTTGCTGTTAGTTTCCGTACTTTTGCGTAGACATGTTAGCGATCTAATTAGAAGTTTCAAGTCAGGGCAAAATTCAATTGCGTGTTCAATAATTCGTTTCGAGTTGAAGGAGTCTTCTCGGAAATTCTTTAGTGATTCAGTTGATAATAGCCTTTCATTTTCAATTGTATTTTCATCACTTGTAATGTAGGATACGTTTGATATATCAGAAGACATAGATTCTATGTCATCTCCATCGTCTGGAATATCGACAGGAACAGTGTTTTTTGTATTAAAAACTTCCGAAACATTTGATGTACGTTTTGTGTTGTCAGAAAATGCGAATGAAGAGCATGAAATGGTACTGAGTAGTGAAAACACGGGTGGCGTTTGCACCTTAGCCTTTGTTGCAACACTAGCTGGTACAATACCTTGTTTAGTTTTACGTGTATCCTCATTTGCGTCACTGGTAACAGTAAACAGTAAAGTAAATTTAAATCCTGGAAGCATTGAGAACGAAGGGCAGGCTTTTACCATCTCCTTGTCATTAGTTGTTCCAGTTAGTGTGGATTGATCTGTCTCAGCAATATCTGTTTCACTAATCGGCACAGCTGTTGCAGTTACCATGGGTACAGTTATGTTGTCAGTATTGGCATTATTTTTAGTATCTTCATTAGCATTACAATAGTCTATGCAAGTGCCATGTCCTTTGTCTTTCCCTGGGAGTGTGGCAATCAAGTTGTTTTCAATTTCAATAGTGTTCATTACTAGTGATTGATTTACATCATTACATTGTGACTGGGATTGACCTGATAATGTGACAGTTTTCGCATTTGATTCTGTGATTAGGTGTTAATCCAGGAAACAGGTTATCACCATTATCAGAAGACAACATGGCGGCCGCCATATTGGAAATCAGCTGTTTGCGGACCTGTTATTGTATTGAATGTTTCAAAAAGAGGAGCCAGTCTCGAACATTCAATAAAGATGTGCACCAAATCATCGTGTTGTTACAGAAAAGACATTCATCTGACGTACGTATTTGAGATTTCAATAAATAACCACCTGTAGGATATGCAGCGTGCAAGAGACGCCACTGCAGGTCACCATCCTTTTTGTGGTCGGAAGGAGGTAGCAATCTGTAAAGTTAGATTTATCGGCAGCGTTGAGAGACAGAACATCTCTCCAGACATTATCACTGTGTGTAGTTGTTTTTGACAATTTTCTTGTTAATATGAGAAATTTATAAATACGTTCCTTGTCAAATTTTAAAGAATGTCGTTTTTGTCAGATATTTGTATTTCACTCGTATTATGATTGTTAATCATTATTTCCAAGGTGTTGGTATGGCTCGGTGTGTCACATCAAGGACCATACCAAGCAGTCTCTTTGAATATATGGGTACTATTTCATGTAAATCATCAACTTGTAGCCAATTATTATTACCGTAACCTATCAGGTCAACCACTTTAGCAATGCCAGCTTCACGGAAATGTAACAAAGTAAGTGGTGTGTTTTGAATTGGATGCAAGACCAGTGGGTTATTAAACAATGGTTCTGCACACACTTGCACAAACGTGGATGGTTTATCCTTTCTTAATGTTGTGAGAGAGAACCAGGTCTTAAGAATGTCATAATAAAATGCTGGAAGGCCAACGATGGGTTTGTTAAGACGTGTGATAAATAGCTGTTTATCATAATTCAAACCATGTACCTGCCTGAGAAAATATTCCGTGAATGAGAAATTATAGTGTTTTAAATTAGCGTACAAATACCTTTGAATGAATTGAATACGGAAAGTAGCAATACGTGTGAGCAAGTGTATCAAACCTTGACCACCTTCACATATGGGCAAGTAAACCGTTTCGACAGTAACCCAATGGCGACCTTGCCAAAAGAATTTCAGAAACATTTGTTGAAGTTGATCATTTTTTTCTTTGGGTGGACAAAGACAAACAAATCGGTGTAATAGCTTTGATGCTATTAATTGGTTCACAACTAAAGCGCGCACTCTATAAGACATGGCAGGGGCGTATTTTGTCCACCATTCGAGTTTTGATTAAACTTTTTCGATAAAGTTTTCCCAGTTTTTATTTAAGAATACCTGATTATTCCCAAGAAAAGTGCTCAAAATTTTCAAACTGTTATTGTTCCAGGTTATACCCACATACATACACACATACATACACACATACATACAAACATACATACATATATACATACATACAGACAGGGTAGCTGCAAAGACTCCCTTTTGTGCTTTGCATACGGGAGTCAAAAACAACAAGATGCCTGCCAGTCGGCCATCTTTGATCCAAATGCACAAGAAATTGTCATGGACATGTTTCCTAACATGTATAATCTATGTACCAAATTTGAATGAAAACTTACAAAGCATGTCCACAATACAACATTTTCAAAAAACAAGATGGCTGCCAGTCGGCCATTTTTAATCGAACCGCTAAACAACTCCATGTGCATATGTCTCACATAAAGTACTAGGCACATGCAAAGAATTAATTAATTCAGTCAACGTTTGATACTCAAAGAAAACATGTTAGCTGTTTCATGAGTATTAATATTTCTAGTGAGAAAATACTTACATGTATGTACCATGGCCGATCCAATGGTTAAAAAAGAAACTGTGATACTGATCATAATAAATATTTGTATTAACATAGCAACCCAATTAAATTGTGGATATTCCTCTTTGATAATCTAAAAAAACAAACAACGAGAATATACAAAGATTTGAAACTACTCACACTCACTGAGAACATATGATGACTTTAAACTATTCACACTCACTGAGGACATACAATGAGTTGAAACTACTCACACTCACTGAGAACATACAATGAGTTGAAACTACTCACACTCACTGAGAACATACAATGAGTTGAAACTACTCACACTTACTGAGAACATACAGTGAGTTGAAACTACTCGCACTTACTGAGAACATACAATGAGTTGAAATTACTCACACTCACTGAGAACATGAGTTGAAACTACTCACACTCACTGAGAACATATAATGAGTTGAAACTATTCACACTCACTGAGAACATACAATGAGTTGAAACTACTCACACTTACTGAGAACATACAATGAGTTGAAACTACTCACACTCACTGAGAACATGAGTTGAAACTACTCACACTCACTGAGAACATATAATGAGTTGAAACTACTCACACTCACTGAGAACATACAATGAGTTGAAACTATTCACACTCACTGAGAACATATGACGAGTTGAAACTACTCACACTCACTGAGAACATGAGTTGAAACTACTCACACTCACTGAGAACATACAGTGAGTTGAAACTACTCACACTCACTGAGAACATACAATGGGTTGAAACTACTCACACTCACTGAGAACATATGAGTTGAAACTACTCACACTCAATGAGAACATACAATGAGTTGAAACTACTCACACTCACTGAGAACATACAATGAGTTGAAACTACTCACACTCACTGAGAACATACGAGTTGAAACTATTCACACTCACTGAGAACACATGATGCGTTGAAACTACTCACACTCAATGAGAACATACGAGTTTGAAACTACTCACACTCACTTCACTGAGAACATACAATGAGTTGAAACTACTCACACTCACTGAGAACATACAAATTGCTCACAAATTCACTGAGAAAATATGAGTTGAAACTACTCTCAAACTCACTTTTTATGTTTTAGTTATCATAGAATGTAACCAAATCTATATCTACTGTGCATATTAATGAGGTCACATGACACACAACTTGAAGCAGAAAAATAACAGTATATACTCACATTTGTTAGTGGAACAGTAGCAATCTCTCCTTCTTGCTTTGAACTACAATAAAAATTGTTATCTATTGATTACACTAAACCCAAATATTATATATTATTACCGGTATAAATCTCACACAAAAACAATAGAAATATGTATGTACATGTTCAAAAGTTTTAAAGATATGTTCAAATATTATCAAAAATTTAGGAAATGTGGTCATGTTTACGTCACATCTGAGCACTTCTCTTTGTTTAGATCAGAGACAGAAATAGCATACAAATATACACACATGGCCAGTAGAAGCATGAACATTTGTAATATGCACATGAACAGTAATAATCATAAAATTGAATATTTTATAATATTATAAAAGAATTAACCAACTTACTTAAATAATGAAACATTTTGAAAACAACTGACTAAATATTTTGAAGTTGTTGAAAGTAATATGGACATAATGCTTTCTGTTTGATGATCTGTAACAGTTGGTACTGTAGTAATAATAGCTGAATCATGATGTGTATTAGACTCAGTGTGATTGCCATCAATATCTCTACCCATACGGATTGCTAAACAATCAGTCTGTGGTACAATCTCTAAAACCGCCCAGCACCTTTAAAGTAGAAGAAACAAGACACTGTTAAGTATATAGTTTCCATTGGAATTAGAGGAAATGTTATTCATGCTAAAAATATTGTAATATGAACCAAAAGCATAGTTTTTAATTGAGAGAGAATAATTGGCTGGTCTAGTATCAACAGAAATTAGATGTATTAAATGACTCTTCCAAAATCGTAATATATGGTTAGAAATTTAATAGGGTAAGCTATTCATGCATTTTTTGTATCCAAACTGAATTTCATTTGCACAGGCTCATGTACAGAAATAAAGTAGTATGGTCAAAAAGCAAAATTACAGGCAGTCAACCATGTTTGATCCAACTGTGAAACTAATTGTCATGTGTCATGGACATGTATCCTAACATGTATAATTTGACGTGCAAATAATCATGACAAGGATACATTTTGAAAAAACAAGATGGCTGCCAGGTGGTCATTTTTTATTTCAACATGAAACAAATCATCATGGACATGTATCTCAAAGTGTATAATGATTGTATTAAATTTGAATGAAAAGAGACAAATCCTGTCTAAGGTAACACATTTTCTCAAAAAACAAGATGGATGCCAGTCGCCATCTTTGATCTGATTATGGAAAAATATGACATGAACATGTATTCTTCTTATATGTATGACCTATGTTATTAGGGTTGTACAAACCAGTTTGTTTACCTAATCATACCTACCAGAAAGTCCGTGAAAATAATAAATTCCATTTATTACTCGTTGGCTTAACTACAGATTACGGCCCAAATCGGAAACTATTAGGAATATACTCCCAACAATTTTAATGCATCGAAACAGTGTATTGCTAAGGTTAAATAGCGCTGAACCAAAACCGGTAGCGTCAAGCAAAAGAGGCTGGTTGGTTAGCTGAAGGCACTATGAAGGCACTATTTCGTGCAATGGACCCCTTGGTAGTGCAGGCTGGGTCAGCGAACACAGTCTGACCCGTCACCACTGGACCCAACCTGTAGAGACCCTCCTGCAGCGCTTGGAGGTCTCTCAGGTAATAGTTAATGGAGACATTCTGAGAACTCCAGAACCCTGCTCGAAGCACCTGCTCGAGCGAGGCCCCAGACATCAAAGCCAATGAGTTAGCTACCACGCGCACCTCGTGTACCTGGTGGCGTTCCAAACGAACCGATGTAGAAGCAGTTAACTTATACGCTTCCACGACCGTATCAACAATCCACTGCGAAATGGTGATATTCAAAGCAGGGTGGCTCTGTTTGCCCGGCCCATAACAGACAAACATGCGCTTCTCACTGTCCTAAGACACCTTGGTGCGATCGCAGTACCAGCTCAGAGCTCGAACCAGGCATAGAATCCGTTCCTGACGGTCCTCCTTGCCCACAATGTTAGTGAGGATGGGGATGACGATCGGCTCAGGGTCGCGCCCTGGGATTTGATTCTTGGCAAGAAAGCCCAGCCGAGTCTTCAGAATAACTTGCGAGTTCATAAAGGAGGAACATCCGTCACTAAAGGACAGTGCCCCTATCTCTGAGCGCCAACTCCCTGATGTCAGAGCCAAAAGAAAAAACTGTTTTCATACTTCATGTCTGCCTTATCCATAGACTCGAAGGGTGGGTGTCGTAACGCAGACAGAACTAACGGACAAGTCCCAGTCAGAAGGATTTGTTAGCCCCTTGGCGCATGGCCTCTTCAAGAGGAAAAACTAAAACAGTTGAATCAGAATAGAGCTCGAAGCCAGTTTCAGTCCAGCAGATTCTGGTAAAACTGGGAATAAAACTGACCGAATAGACCATTTTCCGTACACTGCGAGAATCACGCGTTATGCGTGAAATCGAACGTAAAAACAAGACAAACAATGGTCATAGCGTCGTAGTCGCGTCAAACATCGCGTGGGATTCGACAAACGCGAAAGTATTTCGAGGACATTTCCATGCTTAATAATGTGCTGTCCACATTTGATGATAGTCAATTTCGATTAAGTGAGGGTATTCGGAAGCAATATTCCTCTGTCGAAGATCGGCCGGTCAATGTAAGCTGCGAAATAAAGAAATTCTAGTTCAAAATCAAATCGTCTTTCATGCATCTCGCGAGATTTCGCAATTGTTCGGAAAATCACCTATTGTCGATATAGATTTTCCTTGATTAAACAAATAAAAGAAAAAATCGGCTACCTCGCTAATAGAGAGACTGAGATGATCAATCTCCCTTCCGTCACACTAATCAGAGTACAGTTTCCATCTGGATTTGTACAAACGTCTGGTGCCGTTCGACTGTGCCAAAGCAAGGAACTTGGACAGCTCTGCAGAAAAGCCTTGCGCTTGCATGAGTTTACAAGCTGCGACCTTAACTGCATATTAGTAAGGGACAGCTGGGCTCCGGTTCGTGGTATCCTGTGACTGCCCCACCAAAGTGGGGACGAGAAACGACATAGTGCCCCCCCATGTCAGGGAAGTGGTCGCTGTCCCCCATAAGAGGGTTGCGTACCACCCTGTACAGGGGTACCAACACTGGAGTCCCCTCCCCTCACAGAGTCATAAGAGGGGACACTCTGTGCGGCTTAGGAAGATGCAGGAAACAACGCCTGGTCAGCCCGGGCCTGAGGGGGTGTGGGGAATATAGAAGAGGATGCGTAAGGCGATCCGTGGGGAGAGCCCACTCTCCTTCCCACTGATGTGAATTGTCCCCCCACTGACCCTCTAAAGAAGAGATCACTGGGAGAAAGGGACACACCTGACCCTAGCCATGGTGGTGGAGGTACAGGCAATATCTCAGCCCTGACCACCCCAGGTCCTCCTGAATCCTACCCTAAGACTGCAGAAGGGAGTTGACTTTTGAAGCCAGACTACGCATCCAGACCGTCCAAGCCATCTCTTCACCCTGGGAGAGTCGTTTTTCACCTTGACTAGTACCGGTACAGGAAGGCAACTGGGCCTGTTCCTGTGATTGCGCAATGCATTCAGGCTGCGTTGGTGGATTGAACCGATTCGGTCTCTAAAAGACTTGCTGATTCCACCGCGAGACTCAGTGCCGATGTCAGGCCGCTTATCAACGTCCGTCGGCGTGGTGACTGGGAACTCCAATCTCCCCACAAAAGCGGTTGACCGATGTTCGTTAGTCTTCGGAATCCGGTGAAAGTAAACTGAGCCGGTATTTCAACTAAAAACAGGTAAAAACAGGGCCCTAATAATGGAAAGCGTTTACCATAATGAGCAGATCACAACACTAGAAACTCTAGTAATTCTCAGCCAGAAACCTGTATTTCGTCGTACTTGTAAAAAGCGGAGCGTAAAAATATAGCTGCCGGTTGTAAGCAGAAATGAAAAAGAATATCGGATCACGCCTCACACCTTTGATCACACCTTATGAAACAAACTGGCTGCCAGGCATCCATCTTGGATTGAATCAGTAAACCACTGCATGTGCAGAAAAAGTACTAGGTACATGCACAGAATGAACAGATTTGGTCCACAAGGTTCTGAAATATGACGACGGATGGATGGTTGGCTAAACCCACACATGAATGGAAATAACAAAATCTAGCACACATACGCATGTCAAAATTAGCAACTCCTTACACTGCACCAAAATAAAAATCAACATCACCCTACACATACATATGTCAAAATTAGCAACTCCTTGCACTGCACCAACATAGAAATCAACATCACCCTACACATACGTATGTCAAAATTAGCAACTCCTTGCACGGCACCAACATAGAAATCAACATTACCCTACACATACGTATGTCAACATTAGCAACTCCTTGCACTGCACCAACATAGAAATCAACATTACCATACACATACGTATGTCAAAATTAGCAACTCCTTACACTGCACCAACATAGAAATCAACATCACCCTACACATACGTATGTCAAAATTAGCAACTCCTTACACTGCACCAACATAGAAATCAACATCACCCTACACATACGTATGTCAAAATTAGCAACTCCCTGCACTGGACCAACATAGAAATCAACATCACAGTACACATACGTATGTCAAAATTAGCAACTCCCTGCACTGGACCAACATAGAAATCAACATCACCCTACACATACATATGTCAAAATTAGCAACTCCCTGCACTGGACCAACATGGAAAAAACATCACCCTACACATACATATGTCAAAATTAGCAACTCCTTATACTGCACCAACATAGTAATCAACATCACCCTACACATATGTATGTCAAAATTAGCAACTCCCTAGACTGCACCAACACAGTAATCAACATCACACTACACATACGTATGTCAAAATTAGCAACTCCTTACACTGCACCAACATAGAAATCAACATCACCCTACACATACGTATGTCAAAATTAGCAACTCCTTACACAGCACCAACATAGAAATCAACATCACCCTACACATACGTATGTCAAAATTAGCAACTCCTTGCACTGCACCAATATAGTAATCAACATCACCCTACACACACACGTATGTCAAAATGAGCAACTCCTTACACTGCACCAACATAGAAATCAACATCACCCTACACATACGTATGTCAAAATTAGCAACTTCTTATACTGCACCAACATAGTAATCAACATCACCCTACACATACGTATGTCAAAATTAGCAACTCCTTATACTGCACCAACATAGAAATCAACATCACCCTACACATACGTATGTCAAAATTAGCAACTCCTTAGACTGCACCAACGTAGAAAACAACATCAACCTACACATACGTATGTCAAAATTAGCAACTCCTTGCACTGGACCAACATAGAAATCAACATTACCCTACACATACGTATGTCAAAATTAGCAACTCCTTGCACGGCACCAACATAGAAATCATCATTACCCTACACATACGTATGTCAAAATTAGCAACTCCTTGCACGGCACCAACATAG